AAGCAATACTGGAGCAGGAAAGTCTAGGCTTTATGCATAGGTTACGTACCTACAATCTTCTCCAGAGTCAAAAGCAACTTCTGGATATTCTGTACCTTTCTGGACCTGACTTTTCATGATACCAATATAATCATGCAAATGAAGAATACAGCATGCGCTTAAGCGTGCAACTTAACTAAGGTTTATTTTAATTGAAGGAAATATTTTGTTTACACTGAAGTCTACTTTTTTGAATGGCCATTTATTCCCGTAGCAGGTAAGGACAAATATAGACAGACAGGGTTGCCCATTTTTCAGATTAGGTTCAGCAAAAGTGTTAATGTCCTTAGCTTCTGAAACAAGTGTACTCAAACAAAGAGATTAAATCTGATGCAGTTTACCTCAGAAACAAGTTTTAATCCCCTTCCCAGAGATTGCTTTTTCCAACTTGATACATGGCTTTAATAAACAACTAAAAATAGAAGCTCTATAGAGGGAGCAAATGAATACAAGCCAGTTTGTTACTTTCAGAAACCAGTAAACTGAACTTGCAAACACATTCCCTGCTGACCAAAATGAAACTTTTCACTTTCTGCCAAGAATGCGTATCAGTCAGGCGATCCAAGCTCAGTCACGCTTTCACAGGACTGGAAACACAAAGGCAGCATGAACGTTCAGGCACTCGGAGCATGAGCAACTCCAAATTCAGAGTGCACAGGCCAAAAAGTAAAGTGACTATTATTAACTTCCTCTGCGTTATCAAGATGTTTTACTTCAAAGACAAGTGGACTTGTTTAAGGCAACTTCACTCTCTTAACCATTCCATCACTGGCAACAAACTACTAGTTTTTAAACTATTTTTTTCTTAATCTCTTCAGCTCATTCCCACTGGATCAGTGGAGACCACCTGTACCACATCAGTAAGTTTTGTTCATACCATTACAGTATTTGTAGCAGATGAGTTTGGCGTGCTCAGATCAGTAAGGCTAGAATTAAAGGAAGCATCATTCTAAAGTGTGTCCAGTTTAGAGGTTAGAAACCTAAAGAACACTTCCTGTTAGACCCAAGATGAAACTGAAGAGAAAAAATGGTCAGATACAAGGCTGGGTTTCAAACACTACCAATGAGCTCCAACACGTTACTTCTGTTCTTTTCAAAGCCTGTATATAAACACCTGTCGGAATTTGGTTTCAGCGGAAAAATTTTGGGTTCCAGTTGTACAAATCAGACATTAGCAGTATATATAATAAAGTCCCAGCTGTTCCAAGTTTTAAGCACACCACTTCACCCTAAGCCAACAGAAAACAAATTACTTCAGTCATGTCTACTCAGGGACTTAGAGCATTAACCTGCAAAGAGATGACTATTTTAAAATGTTCAAGTACACAGTATTAAATGAGAGATTTTTATCAACCCTTTGTAAATCATGTAATAAAACACCTTTTATCATATGGCTGAAGCTCCATTTATAAAAAAAGTACTTGACAAAGTAGATAAGATACAGTAAGTTTGTCAAAACAAAAACTTTTTCTTGATGTTCCAAGTACAATGGTTACAAATACATCAGTTCATTATATTTTAGTCAAGACTAAAGGTGGGAACAGATAAGATGTTTAAGTATATTTAATACACACAGTCCAAACCCATTTGTATTTTATATGTTCATAAGGAAAGGAAATACGGAACATCCATTTTCTGATTGATGCTATTCGTTTTCAAGAGGATTCAACACTGCTCTTTCCTTGCTCCCACTACCTTCACTGGGGTGAGAGAAAGCTATAGTTTACAGATTAAGAATCCAACTGCTTTTGGCTTAATATTTACCATAATAAAGTATGTGCAAGAATGACTATCAAAGTCAAGAATGATAGTTTAACAGGACTACAACCTACAATATTCAAATTCAGACTCTTCTTTCACATGCTCCAAGTCTGGATAATACCAGATGAATTTCAAATGTACTCTGAATTAATTTCCTATGAAGTTTAGTTGCGAAGATTAGTTATTTAATCTACTTGTTTTGGGGAAAAATTGATAGAGGAACACATCAGCTGAAAAGCACCCTGGTACTGTACAGTAAGCAAATCTAAGAACAAATCCACTATGAGACAGCAATATAGAAAAGCAGCATGGAGCACTTTTGATCAAAAATTAGATCAACATCAACTGTTCCTTCCCAAGGTGTTTATCAAAAAGGTGGGGAAAGAAATGAGACAACAGGGGACCAACTTCTTTGAGAAAGAATATATCATCTGCCCTTGAACAAAGCAGTGCTTCAAAGAAAAGCAGAGATGATTAAGTTTTATATTAATCAACAGGTTGATGTATTTGGACAATCAACAACTAATTAACATTGCTTGAAAGAGAAGCAGGGAGGGAAACAGAGAAGAGTCTGATCATTTTCCAGCCCTCTTCTGGCATGCAAGACCAAAATCAACAGAGGAAAAAAGAAAAGTAAAAGATATTGAAGAAACAAGTCCAGAAAACTGTATTGCTGGTTGTTAATCAACTTAAACAGCTAGTCAAAAGAACCTAAAACATGGTTCAAGGAAAAGATGTGTCAGAAGCGAAGAGTCTCTGCCACCAGTCTTCACCACCACAGCACTGGTATCATTCATGACTCCATGGCAGCCTCTATCAAGCTCCTCAATTCCACGTACCAGCTTTTGTGCCCTTTTAAATGTACATCCAACCCCACCCCCAGATGGAGCCTAATCTCTGGCAGAGGAGCGGGAAGTTCGGACTAAAGCCTCCCTGGTCAAACCTTTACCCCACATGCACACCCATCCCATCAGACACTTTCCAACAACACTAATATGCAACTATCAAAATGGCAGTCAAGAGCTATGTCTGAGTTCCAAGATCTCCCTCTCTGTATCCAAATCCAGAAGTCCATCCCCAAATACTCTACTCCAAACTTCAAAGAATAGTGCTCAAGAAGATCAACATCTGTTTACAATGTTTTCTTAGCAAACAATTCTATAATGACATCTCTAACCCAAATACACAAATATTAAATCACAGATAAACCATGAATCATCGACCTCTCTGATACAATATGTAACATAAGATTTGCAGTTTGATGGTTTAAGTTCGTATCTCAAATTACTTTCTTGCATCTCTACTTAAAAAAGTGCCAAGAGCTAAAGTCGGAGCTACAGTAATGCCAGTGCACTTCACCTCAATATTTTCTACAACTATCCAATCCAGCTGTAGGTAACACAACCAGCGTTACTGGAAGGACTCCCCAGAAGTTAAACAATTTACAATACAGATGTTCTTCACAGTCAGCCCACATTTGCTTTTTCATCTTACTTCCTGTTCATTTTCTTCGTAAAACTTGCTATTTTTGTATAGTTATTCACAACTTTGGCTAAAAATGAAAGAAAAGGCTTGTTTGGTTGGGGGTGGGTTTGCTTTTTGGGTTTTCTTGTTGTTTTGTTTAGTTTTTGACAAATACTGAAAGTTCTTATGACAGCTGATGATTTCCAACTTCAGAGCAGTATAATAGACTTTAACGACTGGCCAAATTCCAGTGGAAGTGGTTATATTCTGCCTCCTAGGATGTCCAATTAAACCTGTTCAAGCTACTTTATTTTCTTCCAGCTCTAAACATTTCATGCTATCACTCTACTGTTGAATGGCTGCTGTGTTTCACCCTCAGCTTGTATTTCAGTGGTACACTATATAACCCAAACATTTACTGTGAAACCCTTAAGCTGTCTCCTATGCAACTATTCAGCTTACCTGTGTTGACTGGATCACCGTAAGATCATTAATGTAGCAAAAGCCTGCTCCCATAGCGGAGCGAAGACCAGCAGTCCCAAAGGTCAGCCTGCAGCAGAGACGATCCCGTAACTCTTTATGCTTTCCATTCTGTAACAAGCTTTCAATCTGTTCTTTTGTTTTTTGGTTCTGCAAAAGAAGATTAAGGTCTTCATTTAGTTCTTGAAATCAGGATCTGAACTATATACTTACCGTTTTTAAATGATTCCTAGTTCTGCAGTGCAACAAGTTCTTCCTATCCTATAAAATGCCTGTCCACATGAACTATCCTTCATTGTAACTCTCATTTCTATCATATTCTCTTTTCTGTATCATCCTTATTCATAAAAGATTCAAGAGCTCTTGTTGCCATTGATATGCTGATGTGTTTGCCTACTCATTAACACACTTTCCAGCTACATGACTACAGACTTCAAAACAGGTTTTTCCAAGGCAGGTAACACAAGTTAATTCTCGATCTGTGCTGCCGGAAGACAGACAAAAATCCTAACTTCAAAGCAGTATTTCCTTCCTCCCCACCCGCAGGAAAGATCTGTAAACAGGCACAGTAAAATAAAGCTGACATTGTAAAACCAAAAATAAAGCTTGTCTTTTCAAGTTACATTAATCATTAGTGAGGTGGGTACAAGAGAGTCAAGCCCCTATTTACCTCAAACTTTCAAATAAAGATGGGTATTTCTGTCAGAGAATCCCAGCCATTTTTGACACTTGCCCTGCTCAGTATATACACTTGATATAAATGGTTGAAGAAAAAAAAAAAACTCCTACTCCTGAAGGCAAGTATCACATGCATCATTTTAATAGCCACTTTCATGCTCCAAACATAGACTTTTAACTGCACTTAGGAGGGTCTCAAGAATCTTGTTGTAAACCCAAGATAATTAAAAACAAATTTCCGCAATTACTTAATAGTTCAGAAAGAATGCATTTTATACACATTTACACACAGTATGCGATACAGCCACTAAACAAAGAATTCTCCAAAGAAGTCACTGGATGCATCTTTAAGAGCTAGCATCTTTCTGAAGAAAAAAAAATTCTGCTCCCAAAAGCATTCCTCATGTCAGTGAGACATAACTTTATTGTTGGTCTTAGAGAACACAAAGATAGCAGTTGCTTTATGACTTGCCGCCAAAACCAGCAAAATATACACCCACTAATCTACTCAGAGGAAACATTTAAAAACAAAATACTACATAAATCAGTTAATTTGATAGGTATCAACGTATTAACAGTCTTATGGTTCACATGGAAGAGCCAGAGACATTCTCCCTTTATGGTATCGTTAGCTGACTGTTGCACCACTTCACCTACACTTTTGCATAGCTTATTGCAACCGAAAGCTCCCTGCAGTTACGTGCTGATGTTCGTACAGTGCGTATCGCAGCGGGGACTTGCCTGTCCGCTGCTCCGCCGTTACCTGAAAGAGGCCGTACCAGGTCAGACCAAAGGGCTGGTTAGTCCAGCACCCTGACAGCAACTGTCAGCAGATGCCTAGAAAAAGGCCCAAGGACAGCGCAATCACGGCAGGAATCAGGACAACGGTGCAAGGGTGATCTCAGTATTTCCTACATAGGGAGTTCCTGATCTGCACAGAATGGCTCCTTGTACCAACAAAAGGGATACAAACACCAGACAAGTCAGGACAGAACATTTTTTAAAATGTTGTCATCCCATGCCTTTATCATCTAAAACTTGTGACTAAAATGAATGGCCACCTGACAAGAAAAAAGTTTGGCTAAATAGAACAGTAGGGAGCAATTCTTCTGATCTGAAACCCACTCCATTTTAAACAGAGCCACTGCATTTACAAAAGAATATAAGCGTTTGTCATTTTCATGTATAGAGAATACATCTACTACCATTCCTGGTTCAGCTGAGGGAGTGATTATACACATCTCTGAAAGGCTTAATTCGAGTATTTACCTTAAGGTAGGAAATGCTACAATGCTATGAATGTTTTAAAGTCAATCCTATGCAGCGCACAGTATGTTACACAGCAGGGTGGATAAGAGACACTGATTACTGCAGTCTCCCTCTGTTCGTTCAGTGTTTTCCCAAACTTGCATTACTGTTGAAGCTACGAACTTCCACGTGTACAAGATGCATGTACACACAATTTGTTCTTCATAGTTATTCTGCACCCTCAACTAATATTGAGGCTAGAAAACAATGGACAAAATAGGGAAACTTTAATATTAATTACCTATGATGATTAGAATTAGATAGCCATGGTAATACCAACCACACTATCCTAGACATGCCTGGGGAGACCCAGTGGGAAGTGAGACAAGGTGAGTCCAGTTTAACAAAGAAAAACAGTGATAGAAGAATATCGATGTCTATCCTTCTACAACAGGGAGCGAGTCACCCGTAAGATGCTGTTTTGAAAGAAGTGGATGAGTAAGTACTTATATTTTATAACATGGGGATTTTGAAGGCTTTATACATTCATTTGGTCATCAAGAAACTCAGCCTGTCTACTGACATCCAGTTTGGACAAGACTTCACAGCTATAATAAACACAGCGCAACCCAGCCAGGCTTGCCAACAACACAGACCACGTAGAAGGCAATCGATGCAACTGTAAAAAACAGTGACTCCGGCTGTACAATAGTACAGCTCAGTCTGCCCAAGTGCTTTTCTAAAATGGTTGCTTCAAGCAGGGTCCTAAGGGTTAAAAAAGGCAAATGGAATCTGAAAGGCAAGGGTGAAGCACCCCTGACATTTGAAATAGAGGTCAGCCAGCTTCAGCTCCCTCACCGCCTGCCACATGGCAGCCTCTGCAGCGCTGGGAGACAGGCTCTGCACAGAGGGAGGTTCTTCAGGAGGATTTGAAAAACGCTGGGAAAAGCACAATGATATGAGCTGCACACTTCCATTAGGAAAAAAACACTCAGTAAAACTTGTTGAAAAATCTGAAACTATTTCCACAGCTTGGTAACAGATCTTGAACACTAGCAGGATGAGACATGTAAATTTAAAATAAATTTTAATTTCTCTGTGCCTTAAAATAAAAAGGCAAGCCATTATTGTTCAGGCTCTCAGATGGCTCTGCAACCAAAGCGAGCCATTTAGCACACAGCTAAAAAAAGGCCTAAAAATAAAACAAAAACAATGGGGCACAACAAATATTAAACCCCAGAAGTGAAAGCTTCTCTTTTAGCTGTTCATAGGCAGCCAACCAGAAAACAAATGACTAGTCTGAAGAGAATCTGAGGCAAGAGTACATTAAAACCTCATTTCACACTATCATAATTTTGCTTTAAAATAAGGCTATTAAATTACACAGCATCTTTAATAGCTTTTTAGGATATGCTGCATTGCTTGCCTGCAAGAATAGAATAACGTGTAGTAAATTACACAGCTTTATGGTCTGGAGTTTTGCAAAACTGAGGCAAGACTTTCCTGAAGCAACAGCACAAACGTTTATTTTACAAATAGATTAAGATGCATTTTTGATTGAAGCTACCTTATTTATTTCCTAGGGAACAAAAATGAGTCAGCCAAAATAGCGTCCAAATAACATTTGAATTTGTTCAGGTCGCACTCAGTTAGCTAAAATTTCCTGCAATCAGAAAAGAAGAAAGGAGGAAAAAAAAAGTTACAAGCTAAAGAAGAAAATCTCAAAGCTTTCCACATATGACCTGAAATTCCTGGGGCAACAAAAAGAAGGAATTTTATAAGACTTGGTATAAATTCAATGTGGTGATGATCTGTCTCATGCTCTGGGTTACACATTCAATGGCATTAGAAGACTGATCTCAAGGCAGCTGTTATCACGACCGTCCGTGGCACAATCCTTACTGCTTTTCATTGTTTCCTGCTTTCCAGTTTTTCTCTTGAGTTGGAGCTTCAAAGCCTATGGACCAGTTTAGCTTCTTGCAACATACTGCTAGGGTATGAACACCATTTACCACACTAAACTCAAAAGGCACTGCAGTCAGGTGGGGCTAAAAGATAACAATAGCTTCCACTGTTGAAGTTTAATGCTATTGCAAATTCTCAAAAACCAGGGTTTTTAGTTGTTTTGCTTTACAGTTATGAAATAAAGTAATATATCTGAAAGTTTCACAGTAGCTCTTATGAAGGTTCGTTTTTCAAAGCGGTATAGTTGTAATGTTAAAACACACAACAGACTTTATCATTAGAGACTGGGGTTATGAAGAATAAAGTCTAGTACGCCTTTATGCAAAGCGTAATTTCTGAAGTCATTAGTATCACCGCACAGTCTCTCTCTCCATCAACACTAACTTTCCTGTCATGTGAAGCAAGAGGCACTAGGGGGGTATATCAGATTAGTCAAGCTATGCAGCATCCCATTGTATTTCTAAGTTCCAAGGAAATATCATCAATCCCACCTATGGATGCCATTACCTGACACTGAAGTGAGGAGCCTGACCAGCAGCTTTAAGTAGTTCATTCATGTACCAAAAAATGTAACAGATCACTGCTAAGAATTTCTCAAGCTTCTGAAGCCAAGCAAGGCAGCAGCATGAAGTTAGCACCAAGCTCAATTAGCTTAGAAACACAGTCAGACAACTGAAGTGCCTGCTCTTAACCGTTGCCTGGATTAGCATGTCAGTAAGCTCCGTTAATCACAATGCAGAAGCCTAGTGTAAGCAAAAGAGAAGTTCCTTAGAGATTATCAATTACAGTGTTTGGACATTATTTTTAATACCCTTAAAAAAAAAAACCCACAACACAAGACTGCCTAAAGCTTCCTGTCTTAAGCAGAAATAAACTAGGCTGTTTCACACAAAAATAGTCATTCCTTAATAAAAGCAATGGTCTAAGATATCCTTGCGTTCCCAATGGCTCTAACAAAGCAACTCAAATTCTTTTCACGGATTTAGTGATTTGAAGAGCTCACGGAATTTAGTGCTTCTTCTAAAGTCAAGCAGTATGTGGGTGTCAATGATATGAAAACAGCATTTCTTTCAGTATCCACCAAAAATGCCAAATCTCTGCACTGCTGGCCAACACGACTTTCTGGAAGAGCAGCTAAAGCAGCTCGGGGAACACAGGTCGGGGTAGGGACCCCAGCCGCTGTGCCAGCAAGGGCAGCGCTGCTGCTGGAGGCACAGAGGGTGGGAGACGGGGGCAAAGGTGCTGTGGTGAGGTCAGTGCCTGCAGCCCTACCCCACCAATGCGACTTGTG